ATTATAATTGCCTTGCTTTATATACTTCCTTTATATAGTTACTTTTAGTGTGTAATAGAAGGCCCTGCATGATCTAAACACTTCTCTAGCCTCACATCACTTTGCATTCTAATAAGTTGTGTTTGCTTCAGCAACACTATAAAACCTACAGTTTCACATGTGTTCTCTTCCCTTTTATATTTTAGGAGGCTTGGTATACAAATGGAGCTTGTATTCAGGGTTTTTACTATAAGATATTTGGTTGAGCCATTTCCTTAAGGAAATCTCCCTTGTCAGTTTCTGGCCTTTTCCTCTTACATTGCTCAGATTCTACAGAAAAGGTTTTTCAGTCTCTCTCCTGACATTAGCTTTCTGCTAGGATGAGCTTTCTGCCAGTATTCTTTGAGCCAAGTAGGAGTAGGTGGGGGGGTGGGGGGGGAGGGTCTGCATATTGAGTATGTAAATTTGCATTTAATCTTCTTGTTTTCAAATATGGCATCCCTTGCCACCAGTTTCCCCTGATGTTTTACAGTTATGCCTGGTGTCTTAATAATCTAGATACCCTTTCTATAACATAAACCTCCAGAGTGTGGAGGGTCAGCCATCTAATAAAAGGTAAGGAAAATGGATCTAGATTGTAACTACTTCTTAACAGATTTTTGAACAACCTCCTGTTTTCAGCCTCTTCTTCATCCCTACTTTCAGAGGTTCTTGGTCCCTCTTATAACCAGGCCTTTCAAGAGTTCTGCTTTATCAGTCTAATCACTTGTTAGCATTCCCTATGGCTGGTCAGCAGTTCAGCTTTCCCATATCTACTAAGTCTGTCGCCATTTGCCCATCTGCCTTCTAGCTGCTAAGATTTTGATGTTATCCTCTTCTGGTTCCTTGACCTTTTTTTTTTTTTTTTTTTTTTTTTTAAATCTTCTCTCTGTTGTTTTAGTAGAGTTCATTGGGGGAGACGGAAAACTAAATTATGTGTTCAGTCCCTCGATTTGACCAGTCTTCTCTGCCTCCATGTCTTTGCACATGCTTGTCCTATGGGAGGTCCTGGAGCTCTCATCTTAATCTTTTGATACTGTGCTCAGGTAGCATGTCCTCTAAATACTGTGGCCCCTGCTTCAACACATTCACTCCCACCCTGCTTGCTTCTAGTTCTGTCTGATCTGTTTATTCAGTAGCACGTGAGGATTATAATTATTTGATTACGTATTATTCACCTTTGCTGGTTATATATAGTAATCCTAATCAGATTTAACGAATTACTGCATTAGTAGAGGTCATTCTTTGGTCAATGTTAAATATTAACTGGTCTTTAAAAGTCATAAACTTCAGCCTGTCTTTGTGTGCTTTACTAAAAATTCAGTTTTGAGTCTCAAAACAAAAGTTATTTTGGAATAATTTATTATGAAAACCTACATTTTTTGTGAAGTATCAGCTTGCCACACTAATTCCCTTGACTGTAGTGAAATTTAAATCAAAGTAGTACCAGGAAGTAGGACCAGGAAATGTGCAAGAATAATGCTTAAATTAATTTTTGATAGTAAAAATATCTTTTTGATTCTTATTAATTCCATGAAGAGAAGTTTGGATGTTTTATTATGTCCTCATGAAATGTTATAGAATACACATTTAAATAGAAGCCTCTGACATCCACTGTAGACAGAGATTTAGTTTATCTTATTTGAGTTAATACGAATTTAAAATGTCTTGACTTTTTTTTTCTCCCTTCCCCACATTCCTAATGTCTTGACTTTTAATACAGGATGATCCAGCACAACCATATAAAAATGTCATCATATTATAGTTTAGATCTTTTGAGATATTTTATTCTCTCTGTTCTTAAATGCCCAGTTCTGTTTAAAATCAAAACAGGGGGAAAAATTTAAAAAAATCAAATCAAATCAAAACTGGGGCGCCTGGGTGCCTCAGTCAGTTAAGCATCTGGCTCTTGGTTTCAGCTCCAGTCATGATCTCATGGTTCATGAGTTTGAGCTCTGCACTGATAGTGTAGAGCCTGCTTGGGATTCTCTCTCTCCCTCTCTCTCTCTGCCCCTACCCCGCACATGCTGTCTCTCTCTCTCTCTCTCTCTCTCTCTCTCTCTCTCTCAGAATAAGCAAATAAACTTAAAAAAAATAAAAAAATAAAACAGATACAGTGATTGCTGATGATACTTCAACTTTGATTCATCAACTGGTTAAATCTTGTTGGTTCTCGTGGAATGTATAGAGACCCTTAACATTGCAGAATCTCAGAGTTGGAAGGGAGCTTAGAATCCCTGAAATCCAAACTTCTGGCTAGCTTCAAAAAGCCTGAGATAGAGATAGTTTGAACTACTATTTGTGAATAACTTCGTATCTTCTGGATACCAGTATCTCTCTCAAATTCTTTTTTCATCTATTTAACAGCTCTTGTGAGTCTGTCTTGATGTAAGAGACAAAGAGACAAACATAATTGTTATGGTGTCTTTTCTGCATAGATAAGCCATTGTTTTACACAGGCTTTCATTTATTACTATTATTTTTTATTTGATTATAGTTGACACACAATGTTATGTGAGTTTCAGGTACATAACATAGTGTTTCAATAACTATATGTCATGTTGTGCTCACCACAAGTGTAGCTACCATCTGTCACCATATAACACTATTACACTAATACCACTGATTATATTCCTATGGTGTGCCTTTTATTCCTGTGACTGATTCATTCCATAACTGGAAGCCTGTATCTCCCACTCCCCTTCACCCATTTTGCTCATCCTCCTTTTCTGGTATCCATTAGTTTGTTCATTCTCTGTATTTATAGATATGATCCTGATTTTTGTTTGTTTATTTGTTTTTTAGATTCCACATGTATTTGTCTTTCTCTATATGACTTCCTTAGCATTATATCCTCTAGGTTTATCCATGTTGTCGCAAATGACAAGATCTCATTTGACTGTGTAATATTCCATTGTGTGTGTTTGTGTATGTATGTACCTGTATGTACCACATCTTCTTTACCCATTCATCTATCAGTGGACATTTGGGTTGATTCCATATCTTGGTTATTGTCAATAATGCTGCAGTAAATATAGGGGTGCATATATCTTTTTGAATTAGTATTTTCATTTATTTGCAAATGATATATCTGATACAGAGTTAATATCCAAAGTATGTAAAGAACTTATAAACTCAACACCAAAAAACAAATAATCTGATTAAAAAGTGGGCAGAGGTCCTTAACAGACATTTTTTTTCCAAAGAGGAGATTAAATTGGCCAACAGACACATGTAAAGTTGTTCATCATCACTCATCATCAGGGAAATGCAAATCAAAACCACAACGAGGTATCACTTTATACCTATCAGAATGGCTAAAATCAAAAACACAAATATCAGGTGTTGGCAAGTATGTGAAGAAAAAGGAACCCTTGTGCACTGTTGGTGGAAATGCAAATTGGTGTAACCCATTGTGGAAAACAGTATGGAGGGTCGCCCAAACTAAAAATATAAATACTATATAATCCACTAATTCCACTTCTCAGTATTTCCCCAAAGAAAATACAGACTTTCATTTTAGATAATGTATAGAAGGGTAGCCTTTGCATAATGTATGACTTACCACAGTTCATACTTTATTATAATGGTGGCTCAAAGTGGCTAGCATTTTATTTTCATGATTCACATTGTGTTTCTAAATAAAAAACATGCAGGAGACACACAGGTCTTCAATAATTATTGTGGTCTTATTTATGACTACCAAATTCTGTAAGAAAGAAACAACCAACCAAAAGATTGAAAATAACAAACATACTAAAGGTAAAAACTTAATCCATTTTTGGCACATGGCATATATAACACTTCATCATTGTGTCATGCGTCAAACCTATTACAATCAATATTTTTCAACTAAATATGGGTGTTTAAAAATTAACTAAGCTTTACTACCCAGCTGAGTGATCTAGGAACCATTATAGTGTTATTTAGAGGAGTATGTATATACAGCTGGAAAGTACTGCATGAGGGTACAAAGTTTTATTTTAGACATGAGCCAATAAAGAAGTTGAGCTATGTAATTATGTTTAAAAGCACAAAAACTGCTCTGTGATCTGTGAAAGCCTGTATGTCAAAGTAGTAAAATTAAAACTGTGAAGTTTCTATGACCGTGAAGCATGATGAGGAAAACTCAGTCTTCATTCTAAATAAGTTTTACATTAATATTGTTCAGCACCTTTGGGATTATTATAGGTAGGAAGCCAATTAAAGGATGCAATAACATCAGATTTTCATTGCTATTAACTATCAGTTTTTCAAATTGAAGATTAAAAGATTAAATTCCAAATGTATGTAGCACATCATTACCACCAGTACCATAATCAGGAAGCATTTACTGTGCACCCACTTTGTGTAGAGGGGATTAGTAATAGGTTTCAGAGCCCCTAGAGTAATTAGGGGGAAGAATCGAATAGCACTTAGTACTCTTTTATCTCACACAGTACAACTATTTTACAGATGAGGAAACTGATATAATTTCTCTAAATTCATTCAGCCTGGGTGGTTCAGTTGGTTAAGTGTCTGACTTCAGCTCACGTCATGATCACATGGTTCATGAGTCTGAGCTGCATCGGGATCTCTGCTGTCAGTGCAGAGCCTGCTTTGGATCCTCTGTCCCCTCTCTCTCTGCCCCTCCCCATCTTGGCATGCTCTCTCAAAAATAAATAAACCTTTAAATTCATCCAGCTAGTAAACAGGTTGAGCTGGAATCCACATAAGAATCCAAATGCCATGCTCTTAGTCATTACATCACTGCATTAAGTCACAATATTTTCAAGAATAGTAGCGAGTTGCTGTCTTAAAATATTGATGACAATAGCCTGAGAATTTTGCCTCGTATATAAGCGTGGGGTCAGACAACTGCACGTTCCCTTTCTGTACCAGTTACCACGTTGTATGATGATTTCAAGATGTGAATAAAGATTTGAGGCTTAGAATTTGGCAGGGTCTGTTTGAGGATCACTCAAGGGTACTTATTGTTTCAGGAACAGCATCTGTTGCAGTGGCAGGGATCCTTGCGGCTCTTCGAATAACCAAGAACAAACTGTCTGATCAAACAATACTCTTCCAAGGAGCTGGAGAGGTACCTGCCTTATACAGTCTTATGTTCTCTGAAACTAATGAGTGGAATTTATCTTAATTATTCATTAATTTGAAGTTCAGGGTATTCTTTTAAGTTTTTAGTAGATTGCATCTGTAGGTTTTATTGAAAGATTTCCAAAAGTAAGTATTGAGGCATTTTAATTTTTCATAAGGAGGCATAGCGATAGTTTTCAGTCTTAAATTTGTAAGATAATCAAATGGTGCCATGGGTTTCTGTTTTACATATTTAAGGTGCCATGTGGGAACAGAGAAGTTTCCAATGTGTGATTATGTATAAAAGCCCTTAAGGATTTAAGCTATTGTATCTGATGAATTTAGTATCCTCCAGTCTCACATATGAGAGTTTCCTTGACTCACAAGTCAATGCACACATAGATCACTATATACAAGTTTTTAAGAAAAAAAATTGAATTGGAGATTCGTCATGCATTATAACTGTTTACGTGCAAAAGCACCAAAACATTTACAATTGCTGGAAGGAGATGGCAGCAAGACAAAAGTGGACTGTTTTCTGTCCTCCTTTGCTATGAGTTAATCATTTGAAGAAAGAAAACTAGACTCCAGTGATAATAATTCACCCCCGACAATAGGAATTAAAATGTCAATTGAGTTTGAACTTCTTGTGAGAAAACTGCCCAAATTATTTGGAATTATAGAATGTAATGAATGGAGAAATACTTTGTGGCTGTATATATTTTAAGAAGCTTTACAATTTCAAATTGAATAGGATTATGAATAAGTGTAATACACTGGTCGAAATTGTATATATTGTGTTTGTTTTGATTTTACTTGTTCTTAAAATATGCAAAGCCAGAACTTAAATGCCAAGATGTAAACCTTTCAAAGTATTCTGATGTAAATCACAAATTCATTTTCACATCAAAATAAAATCAAGGCTAAATTATAGCTTATTAAAATTTGAGTTTTTATTTGTGTCGATGTTACATGCTGTATTTAATTTTAGTAAATTTCTTCTTTGAATTCAAATTGTTTGAATTTCCCAAGCGTTTTGATGAATGGCACAGGCCAGTTCTTGATACTCAGCAGGGCAGAGGTATTCATGGTTGGATGACTCAAAACTGCCACTTGTTTGTCCCTGAAAAGGTTTCGGACATTCACCGATTATCACAAAATTCATCAAATACCAAAGAAGTAGATTCCTTTAATCTTGCAAGAGATTTCACAGTACTTTCTTTGTCCAAATTAATGGAGTAAATAAATGCTTGGGGACAGAGATTTTATATGTTTTATTCTATTGCCTAATTGGTCAAGTTCCCATCCAAATGACCAGGCTTCATTCTTCACATTCAATTAGAGGATCTGGAGCGCAACAATAAACAATACAGTCCAATGAGCAAGGCTGACCAGTTCATTATTTTAGGGTCAATATTTGCTTGTTGAAGCAAATCTTAATTGCATTAACAGGATTAAAGATGATGACAAGGATATCGCTGGTTTATCTGTGGCTAAAAAGCAAGCCACATAATAGTGGTTCTGTTGTGATAAGAAGAGTAAACGTTGTCCTTTAGCTTAACCCGAATGTGACAAAAATACTTTGCTCCCAGTACAAATGAATGAATATAACTCTTTAGGTCAATGGAGCCGTTTTGTTCTTTCTTGTTAATAAAGATATAATGGAGTGAAACATCACGTGGAACAACTTTTTAAAGTTTGTGTTCATTACCTCCTTCTCAGGCTGCCTTAGGGATTGCACACCTGATTGTTATGGCCATGGAAAAAGAAGGTTTACCAAAAGAGAAAGCCATGAAAAAGATCTGGTTGGTTGACTCAAAAGGATTAATAGTTAAGGTAAGAATCTGTCAGTTTTAACTAGAATAAAAATTAATGTGCCGTTCTGGCTGCCCATCTCAAAGACTACAAGTGCTTCCACCCACCCTACCCCAACACCATGTGAAAAGAGTAGCCATTATACATGAATGACCGTGTCATACAATAATACTGATTACTCTTCTGAAAAAGAAGCTTGTGGCTCAGCTGTAGAATCTGCCTGTGGTGTACGTAGGCCCTTTACAACTCTGTGGATTGTCAGGCCCCTCGAATTAGTTTGCACATGAGGCAGTTTGATAGTGACACAACTGAAGCACCTAGCTATAGGTCCTTTTACTAAGGGCTATATGTCAAAATACACACTAGCTGGAAAAAAAAAAAAGAACAAACAATGAAATAGCCCCTCTTTTGCCGCTTTCTCTCAACCAAAGTCTTGAGGGCTTCAATGAGAATTCCTCAAGGGGCTTTAATAAATGGGCTGTTACAGTGTTAACTGACAAAGTCATTTCCCCAGCTGTAATAGAGATAACAGGATCTACTTCATAGGTTATTGTGAGAACCAAATAAGACTAAGAATGTGACCATGTTGCTACATAGTTATAAGGCATTAATGTTACTTCTACCTTCTGTGCACATTAATCACTCTTCCTTAAACTGCCAGAAAAAATACTTGTAAATCCCCTTTATACATGGAAATGAATTTTTAAAATAACCAGTGATAAGCATAGGCTTCAGGAATTTAATATAGAAACAAATGTGAATGTGAACAAACTTTCTGGAAAACTATCTTATGTGTATCCAAAGCCTTTACAAGTTTATGCTTCTGATCCAATAGAATTGTAAGAATACGTCCTATAGAAATAGAGATGTACACAATGTTTTTTGGTTTTTTTCTTTTTAATTTTTTATTGAAAATCATTTAACTAACATACAGTATATTTTTAGTTTCAAGTGTACACTTTAATGATTCAGCACTTTCATACAACACCTGATGTTCATCACAAGTGCCCTCCTTAACCCCCATCATCTATTTAACCCATTCCTCCAGCCATCTCCCCTCTGTTTGATCTCTCTAGTGAAGACAGTTTCTTGGTTTGCCTCTCTCTCTCTCTCTCTCTTTTTCTCCCTATGATTTTTGTTTTGTTTCTTAAATTCCAGATATGAGTGAAATCATGGTATTTGTCTTTCTCTGACTGACTTATATCACTTAGTATAATAGTCTCTGGCTCCAGCCACATCATTGCAAATGGCAAGATTTCTTTCTTTTCTATGGCTGAGTAATATTCCATTGTGTGTACATGTACATCTATCTATCTATCTGTCTATCTATCTATCTATCTCTACATACATATACGTACACACCACATCTTTTTGTTTTCCTTAAATTTTTTAAAAATTCAAAACCACACATCTTCTTTATCCATTCATCAGTCAGTGGACACTTGGGCTGTTTCCATAATTTGGCTATTGTAGATATGCTGCCATAAAAATTGGGATGCATGTATCTCTTAAAATTAGTATTTTTGTATTCTTTGGGTAAATACCTAGTAGTGCAATTGCTGGATTATAGGGTAGTTCTATTTTTGACTTTTTGAGGAACCTCCATATTGTTTTCCACAGTGGCTACACGAGTTTGCATTCCCACCAACAGTGCAAGAGGGTTCCCTTTTAGCCACATCCTTGCCAACACCTGTTGTTTCTTGTGGTGTTGATTTTAGCCATTCTAGCAGGTGTGAGATGATATCTAATGGTAGTTTTTTTTTTTTAATTTAAATCCAAGTTAGTTACATATAGTGTAGTAAGGATTTCAGGAATAGAATTTAGTGATTCATCACTTATATAGAACACCCAGTGCTCATCTCAACAAGTGTCCTCCTTAATGCTCATCACCCATTTAGCTCATCCCCACACCCATCACCCCTCCAGCAACCCTCAGTGGGTTCTCTGTATTTAAGAGTCTCTTATGATTTGTCTCCCTTTCTGTTTATATCTTATTTTTTGCTTACCTTCCCCTATGTTCATCTGTTTAGTTTCTTTTAGAACTTTTTTTTTCAAATGTTTATCCATTTATTTTTGAGATAGAGAGAGCACACAAGCAGGGGAGGGGCAGAGAGGGAGAGGTAGACACAGAATCTGAAGCAGGCTCCAGGCTCTGACCTGTCAGTGCAGAGCCAGACACAGGGCTCGAATCCAAGAATGGCAAGATCATGACCTGAGCCGAAGTTGGATTACCAACCGACTGAGCCACCCAGATGGCCATCTGTTTTGTTTCTTAATTCCACACGAGTGACATATCTCATAGTAGTTTTGACTTGTATTTCCTTGGTGATGTGTGATATTGAACATCTTTTCACGTGTCTGTTGGCCCATCTGTATGTCTTCTTTGAAAAAATGTCTAGTCATGTCTTGTGCCCATTTTTTTAATTACAGTATTGTTTTTTGGGTGTTGAGTTTTATAAGTTCTTGGTATATTTTGGATAATAACGCTTAATCAGATATGTCATTTGTAAATATCTTCTCCCATTTTGTAGATTGCCTTGTAGTTTTGTTGATTGTTTCCTTTGCTGTTCAGAAGCTTTTTTATTTTGATGAAGTCCCAATAGTTTATTTTTGCTTTGGTTTCCCTTGCCTTAGGGACATATCTAGTAAGAGGTTGCTAGGGCCAATGTCAAAGAGGTTACTACCTATGTTCTTCTCTAGGATTTTGATGGTTTCCTGTCTCACATTTAGGTCTTTCATCCTTTTTGAATTTATTTTTGTGTGTGATGTAATGAACTGGTCCAGGGTCATTCTTGTGCATGTTGCTGTCCAGTTTTCCCAACACCATTTATTGAAGAGGCTGTGTTTTTTTTCCATTGGATATTCTTTCCTGCTTTGTCAAAGATTTATTGACTTTATAGTTGTGGGTTCATTTCTGGGTTTTCTGTTCTGTTCCATTGATCTATGTGTCCATTTTTGTGCCAGACACATGTTTTATGTTTAAGAATGTTATCACAGCATTAATTGTAATAATGATATGTTTTATCTCATTATAATGGTAATATGCTGTAACCTAAATAGAGGATAACTGTGAAATAATTATGGAATAGCCACATGAATAGAATATACAGGCTTAGAGTTTTTTTGAAAGAACTATAAGTAACATTAAAGGATTAGTAATGTAATGTTAGATGAAAAAAGGAAAATACCATGTTATATGTCACTATTTTGTTTAAAAAACTGAGTTGCATATAGAACTATAGAAGTAAATGTATCAAATACATACTAGTTTAAATCTTATTATTTTTAATGCCTTTCTGTATATTACAAATTCTCCATAGCAATTATGTTAAAGCCAGAAAAAAATTTTAATTAATATAGATAATATTTTCCTGAAAGAGTGTATGAATAACTTTTTGTGACAAATGAAAAAGAAGTAAAACAAGACAGGACATACTTTATAACATCTGAAAATCAAATAATAATCATTTTATTAACTTGCAATGTGATTTTTTTATCATATATAAGAAAAACATGAAGTTTAAAATTTCTTGTCTTAGAAACTGCTTTTGCTTTGAAGAATCAGCATAAATAGAAAAAGTTTTGCAATCTGGCCACGCAACATATATTGTGGTCAGGAAATGAGATTTACTGAATGAAATTGCCTCTGGGTCAGGTATTGTACTAGACTCTGGGACTCAGTAAGGCCCTTGATCTTAGAAGGCTTACAGCCTGGTGGGAAAAACTCAAACAAGCCACTATGACTCTACAAGCCTAGTGGGAAAAACTCAAACAAGCCTAGTGGGAAAACCTCAAACAAGTCATTATAACTGTATGTGAAAATGTTATAGAAATATGTCCTTGGTGCTAGGGGTGTCGAGGAAATGATGCTTCCACCTGCACTAGAGAGAATAGTGGGAATGTCACGAAGGGCTCTTAGGAAAGATGTTTCTTCAGCTCATTTTGAAAGGGAGAGTTGGGAGTTTATCTTGAGTCTCCATGGACATCTTAAACGTCTTCTATCTGAAACTGAGGCAAGGGAAGCAGAATGGAAAGTTCACTAGGAGATCTTGGCTGAACTTGAGGATCATGTCTTTCATCTCTCTGTATCTTCAAAGTCCTACATAGTGTCTAGCGCATAATTGACAATAAATGTTTTGTGAAAAAGTGAACTGATTAATGAATGGCCTTCCAGGCAGAAGACCAACGTTTGCAAAAAAAGATATTTCACTGGGAGAGGCATTTAGAGACTATGTTTCAAAGGAAACAGATGAACAGTAAGGAAGGCTCTTGAAGCAACTTACTGCTTCAAGCAATTGAAGAAACTTAATGGAGAGGAGTCTTGTGTCTTGTCACTTCTCAGCATTGTTGAAGATGGACTGAAATGAGGTGAAACTGAAAAAAGGAAACTAGTTACAAAGCTGTTGTAATAATACAGATAAAAATTAATTGGTGCCTGAAACAAAGCAATGATCATGAGGGTGAGTAAAAGACATTTGATTTGGCAGACTTTTAGGAAATAGGATTGTCATACTTAATAGCCCACTAAATATGGGAGGAGGAGAAGGGTAGAATACAGACGGGAATCTAGCAGGACTCCTTGGGTGTCTAGATAAGTGATGTGGCCGTTGTGATAGCAAAGGAATGGAGAACAGACTAAGAGAAAGGTAATGCAATCCATTTTGGACACAGCAAGTTTAAGGTACCTGCGCAGATCTCATGGTGCTACCCCCTTGGCAATCAGAGGTTACAAGAATGATGCTCAGGATAAGGATCTGGGCTCCTGGAGACAGATTTCCGCATGTAAAAAGTTGGAGCCATGGAAAAAGCCATACACATTGTGCTGTGGTTAGGGATGTAATAGATTTAAGGACCTAAAAAAGTGAGTCTTAGACTGTGGTTTTCTTTTGTGATTTCTAATGACATTTTTATGTGAAATCTTTATAGAAATGTACCGATTTTAGCATCTCAAATAATTTTAATGTAGACTTACTAAACTGAGACTGCAAATTCCATGGATTATAATACTTGGAATAATTGTG